GCATTATTAAAAATATTTAAATAGGAAACACATGCTTATTGATCCCAATACTAGGAATTTCTACCAAACACTGCTGGACCTCTGAGTGCAGCTTCTGTTCTGTAAGGGTCTGGGATTAGTGTAGCTCATTCCAATGCTGTTATTCTAGCAGTGCCATCTCCAGTGCCAGTGAAGGGGGGATGGCTTGTGGGACAGATATTCCACCCATTTCCAATGGGACTGAAACCTGGGGATTTGGGGATCGGAGGGGGGAAGGGATTAATGGAAGTCTTCCTCTTTCACTTCACTTAACATGCCTGTCACTGAGAGAGCCAATTGATTTGGTGAAGGGGTTCGCAAACCGAGATAGAATTCAGCCAGGTTCTTTCATCAAAGAATATGTTCAACAGGCAGCTGTTGTGTTTAATAAGTTCTTCCTTCAGGAAACTTCAGCAGGCTCTACGATCTGCGTTTAGCTTTCGATTGCAATTTTATTCTGTTTGATGACTGAGCACGTCAATTCAAATCTTGCCAGCTTTAAAAATCTAATTTCCTTCCAGCAAAGCCACACAAAAGCAATTGTTTTTCTTTCTTTTAATGAACTGTCTACTCTGAAGCCCTGACCTGAGCTACTTTGTGCGTACACTCTGCAAGCCCCTGGGGTGAAGATGTCTGCTGTTAAGTTGTAATCGATACTGATGCACAAAGAGTGGGGAAGTTGCCCTGCGTGCATTTGTACACATGAGGCACGTTTAGGAGCACAGCAGGAGAGAAACAGGTCTGTGGCTGCAAAGAGAAACAAGGACAGTTCCATCCACCTGTGATAATAATGGGAAACTCACGGCCACTCTCACTCAAAAATGAGGAATTAAAAATAGGCTTGTGCTGAGACACTTTTGGGATCACATTTAAATGAGAAGGAATCTCAGCAGCTCCTCATTCCTACCAGATTTCAGCCTTGTTGATCTATAAGTAGCAGGGTGATCATGATTTGTTTTACACCTCTGGGTTAAGCACATATACAGTCTTTGTCCCACAATTGAAAAGGTTTTGGAATTATTTATTTTTACTATTACTTTTTTTCCGTCTATTGCTGCATGCCATCCAACCAGATCACTTTGACAAGACAGCTTGGGCAGGCAGGGAGAAATCATTTTTAAAGAATCTGCAGATAATGGCTGTTACAGGAGCACAGTACTGTGATTTAAACAGTCTCCCTCAAACACGGGATCACTTGATACAGCCTTTACAGGTGAGATCTTGTTCATATGCTCTCTGTGCCCGGAAACCTCATTTCCTGACTGTCTAGGGAAAGTGGCTTAAGAACCATATAGGCATTGCTAAGCTGCATAATTATTGACTAATCAGCCTTGCCTTTTGTGTGCATTAGGTTGGGGAGAAAGACTAGCTTCCTGAAGCAGCGTGAAATCGCCCCCCTCAAACAAGCTGATACCCAGACAGGGTAGAGATGTTCACATCTTGAGTACAGTTACCATGCGCGATGTTATGACTCCCCTAGCATAACCACTAGGGCAGTGGCACAAGCAGTTTGCTGATCGGCATTTTATTCTGTTTAGATATCCCCCATCTCTGAACAAAGCCATTAAGTGAATCTTCAAGACGCTCCACAATGCTTGTGATATACCCAGCCGTACGCTTCATAAATCTCTGATTGATCAGCAGGAATCAGAGGGTCAGAGAGAGGACTACATAATGGAAACACATTGATAAAATCATTTCTGAAGGGCATTAAGTGGAACTTAAAGTAAAACTAAAATGGCTTTATGGATTTTTCACTCGATCTGTTTATGAACATTTATTGCTTATACATTGCAGAATGTGGCAGGGATGCACCCCCTGTTTTCACAGACGAAAAGATGAAAAACAAATAAATACTAATTATTTTCAATGCATAGACGACATGTCAATAAATATGAGATGCTGATGGCGGCCGTATTGATTAAGTACTCCACATGTACAGTAAGTTCATTAGGGTGTGTATGCTGCCATATGAGATGCTACAGATACAGTAGAGGCATAGTTACTGTATAGGAACAAGTAATAGGTTTATTCCATGCTGAAAAAAAGAAGAAAGAGAACACAACGTTTCGGCCGTGGAGCCTTCTTCAGGTGTGAGAGAGACAGGGCTAAAGAGACAGGCCCTGTCTCTCTCACACCTGAAGAAGGCTCCATGGCCGAAACGTTGTGTTCTCTTTCTTCTTTTTTTCAGCATGGAATAAACCTATTACTTGTTCCTTTGCAGCCTACGCATGCTGACGCAGCTACCCACCATAGTTACTGTATACTACCTCCAAGTGATGAAGCAGCAACAGTATTACTGAAAGGTTTAATCCTCTGTTCAAATGTAAATTGCTTTCATGTGTAATGGACAGTCATTAGCCCTGATGCACAGAAAGACTGTTTTAGCATAGTTTCTATAGGGGAGAAAGTCCTGCTTTTAGTTTTTTCTGCTTCAGTCTGTACTTTTGGGGTTTTATTTCCCCAGCTGATCTGGACATCTTAATGACTTCAAAATGGACCAAAGTCACCAGCCATCATTCTGCCATTATGCCATCATTCCATCATCTTTAGGTATACGATCTGAGCCATTACAGCCCACCCGGCCCTGTTCGGACCTTGCAATTCAAGGGGCAAGACAGACGTTCTTCTCTTTTCAAATGCGTCCTTCCTGCCATTCCCCGTGTCCATTCAGAGACACACCAGCAGTGCAGCTCCAGGACCCTGGCTGTGAGCAGTGAATTAATATACACGAGTGGGCACGGGTCTTACCACAGCAGTACAGCTCGATCACTGCATGCACACAGACTGGATATTTCCTAAATGCTCTTCTTTAAGACATACAGTACTTAAGACCTAAAGTATGATCCAGACACACTTTTACTTTTTATTTATTTCTGTTACGCACCAGGGAGGGCGAGGGGATTTTTGTCCCAGGTCTGCATCTTTCCCAGCTTGTCGTCATCTGTCCCAAGATGATCTCCCTTTTGAGCTGCCAGCTTGTGTGCTTTCCTTGGACCCTATGTACCCTGTGTGGGTAGGACCCTCGAGAGCTCTGCCCTAGTACTTGCCCCAGGGGTAAATCTGTTTCCATAACAGACCTTATCTTTTCCCTGATGACATGTGGGGCAGTGTGATCTCACCGTGCCTGATGAAAGTCCTATCTCATGGGGTACACTGTGACAGACCGTTTTCTCACTGTAAATAAACGCACCGTGTTATGTTGTTACTGTATATTTACAGCCAACGTTTATCTATCCCTTTCCTTTAAAAAAGCTAAATCCACACCTACAGTGCATCTCCCTCAGCACACATATTTACCTGCAGCTGCACTAAGTGTGTGGCGTTGTACCTTCATTGCCATGGCAATGGAGGAGAAGCTGCTGTCCTGGAATATCACTGGCCGTTCGTCTTGTGCCGTGCAGGGGGGAAATGTGTGTGCGGTGCTGTGGGATGGAGTCAGTTATCCCTCCAGACCTCAGATGCTCCGAAACCTGGCAGCAGGGCAGAGTGACAGACCCGGGAGAGAGTCCCTGCGGTGCTCTTCAAAGCCGTCCCACCCCCACACACAGCTGCAGACAGAGCCATTTCTGGCTCTCGCTGCTGCACCAGGCAGGCTGCCTGCCACACCTGCCCTGCCAGCTTCAAAGCACGGGCTGAGGGCTTCACGGCTGACAACATCTTCAACGAAGCTCATTTTATTATTTCTGAAAATTACAACTTAATTATATATATTTCTTCCCTTTTTATTTTTATTCAGTTACTTCCCATCTCTGGAACTCCAGAGTGTTGCTCAATGCTCAACGTGTACATCGTGTACTGTAGTAAACAGGGATTTCCATCTATTTCTCTTTTTATGAAGTCACTTCCTGTCCGTGGAACATAACAATGTACGGTGTGCACCACCAACATAAAATTCAACTGCCCCCTTGTGGCAGTGAGTGACAATGCGCTGAATCAATCAAATTGAATACACTTCATGTTCATATAGTTTATTTTAATAAAAATTAATATTTTTCTGAAAGAGCTTAGAGCTTCTATTGTATTTAGAAAAGGAAAGGCTAGATTGTTCTTTGTAAATATCACCTGTTCCCTTTCATCTTTTGTGTTTCAGGCGTACAGACAATGCAGGCAATAAAACACTGGGCTTGGTTGTTAAAACCTGTTAATTGTTCAACACAACTGAGCAGTTAGCAATTAACAATATGCTTTCCTCCTGCTAAAAGTTAATAGCATCTCTCCCTGCTGAGTCAGGACTCAGTATTGTATTTCAAAATGCAAATACAAGCTTCAATATTGGTTTCTCATTTTACTAATTTGTATCCAAACCCTACCATCATTAAGTGATGACATGATGTTGCAATAAATAATTTAATTTACTAAAACATGTTCGTAAAGCTGAACTAAACTAAAGGTATTTTCTTGCAAATAGACTCATACCACAAAGAACAGGTGTCAGGCATTTCATCAGCAAAATAATTAAATTTATTTGGTAAGTGCTTTGGAAAGCAATTTTGTAACAGCAAAAAAATAGATAAAAAGGAACTCTTTTTCTGGGTTTTCCTCGGAATAATGAACAGGAGTACATTATTTATATTATTGATCGATCCCTGTGAATGATGGGTTTTGTTCTTTTATCTATGATTTTGGTTCATGAACAGTTGAGCATTTTGAGATGTCTGTAAAAGGCCGTCACTGACTTACTGCTTTAGGGACTGAAGTGTGTGGGATAACTCCGACCTGGAGAACTCTGGAGTCCGAGAGGGCTGCTTCAGGTGTCGAAGGACAGTCTGCAAGTTCCATCCAGTCTGGGCTGTGAAATCACAGACTGAAAATTACATCAATGTTTCATGGAATTACTTACTGACTGTAAGAATGTAAGAATGTGGTGGACTGGGACCAGTGAGCATTTTCAACTCCTCGGACGAGGTTTGTGTCTCAGACTTTGACTTTGTGTCCCAGAATCCAGTTGACTGACAGCCATAATTTGCTTGTGATTTCAGGTGCTGAAGGCGCCGTATTCAGTAACTCCGTAGAAACCCCTCAAGTCAGAGCAGACCCCTTTAAGGAGCTCAGGTAAGCATTCAGGAGTACTTGGTCTTTTCAGCTTTGCACTCAACAACTTAAACACTAGCACTGCAAATCACAGAATCAATTCAACCCTTTGCAGCAAATCCCCAAATCTTTTCCAGATTCCCCAGAAGGTACCCAGTAATAGTACTTGACGAAACAGTGAAATATTTAAGCTGTTGAAATGAACATGAAATGTGTTCAGTAGTTATGGCTTTAACATGTTATGGATATAGTTCCTTAGGTGCTTTTTATCATCCTTCTGGAGTGGTGCTCCATGTTTCCTTCTGGAGGACGCTGTGGGTTCAAAGGGTCATATTAATAGTTCAGATCTCAGTACACACTACAATTTTCCCTTGGAAACTGCCATTCAGTGGTGCAAGGAGTGCATCCCTTGCTATATGTGATGTGCTGTTATATTTCTGGGGAATATAAAGCACTATATAAAAGCAATTTGTTATTATGGAATAAAAACTTTGAATGATCTTTGACATACCCAAACTTTTATAATCCCAAAATCTGTATCTGAATTTGAAAAATGGTATGGTATCTATTGGATTGAACCCTTATTTTCATATAGGACTGTGGAGTTCTGGATATTGACATGAAGCACAGCTGCTCAACAAACTTTTACCAAAGGGTTTCTTTAAAATGCTACATGTCTTTATACTGGACAGGAAAGTTTAGTTTGGTTTACAGATTTTTAAATCAAATGCTGATTCCAGCTCCTGACACAGATGATTGCGTTTCATTAGAAACAATGCTCAAACAGCTGCAAAATGATTAAAAAACAGCTTTAAAAGCATTTTTTTTGGATGCATGAGCTTTTGAGATACAATGCCTGTAATAGGTTTGGCATGTTTCTTGGAGAATAACAAACTGTTTTTTCTGACTTTTTGCACACATCTTTGCAGCTAACCTGCAGCAAAGTTCTGAGGTTCCCAGGTTTCATGTTGCAGGTAGAAATGCTTTGAGGTGCATGAAGGAGGTAGTGATAACTGTGTTATTCCTCTTAGGTAATTTGCAGGGAATCCCAGGACACATGAGTTCATGATATTGTACATCTGAAATGATAACAGAAATAAAAAGTATTTTATTCGCTGAAAGGATAAGACAGAGGCCAGTCCAGCACGATCCTGGTGCTACCAAATATATGAAGGACTTTTTGCACTGAAGCTTTTGCACCCCAACCCCAAACCAGTGTTCAAGCAAGATCGCCTTCAGCTGAGGTTGTGATGGGTTTTTTAAATGCACATTCTGCTGTTTATCGAGCAGCAATGTGGGGATTATTCTGCTTTGGCAACATGCCGGAGGTCTGTCTCCTGCTCCTCAAGGTGAACACACATTTCTGGCCGCTGAGAGAGCCTATTCTATTTACTGGGTACTCCTCATATCTTAGAGTAGCTTCTCGACTTTCTTTGGGGATGTGATGGCATCTCTTGATCAAAACATTTTGCAGAATCCTTCTTTCCCATAGTTCTCCTCAGGCATTATCCTTGCATAATATTCAAGATCAGAAAGAACATTTCTGTTTATTTTAAGGAGTAACTACAAGCATGTTTTAATTCTGGGAGTAAAAGAAGTACAATAGCCTGTCTGACAAAATAACAAGATTATGCACAGTGTGGCATAGACTAAAGCAACATTGAAAACATTCCCTGCTAATTGTCCCTGATTTAAATCTGGGACATGTTAGTCAACCATGTTGCTGAAGCCAATACCTTGAAATCTTTCAAGGAACAACTGGATGACATCTTGGGATCAGAGACCCTTAATCCAAAACTGAGAGTCGTGCAGCTGCTGAGTTGAGATCACTGCCATGGCAGTGGAGTCATGTAAGAAAGCAAAGAAATTAGTACACTTCTTTGCAAGAGAAATGTTTGGGACATTCGAATTGTACTGCAGGTTTGGAAGCTTGCAAATCTTCTCCTTCAAAATATGTATTTTGAAACACAGACAACCGCAAGCTGAAGTTAAATCTTCTTCATGTGATTCCAGGCTAATAAGATTGATGCCTGTTTTCTTGGCATCAGCTTCCCTGTACAGGCTCTCCCTTTGCTGATCGATGCCCAGATGCTCATCAAAATCTAATTAAAGTGGATTCTCATTAACTAAAACAAACATGTGAAGTACAATGCCAATACCAGAGAGAAAGGGTGCTGGCAACGAGATTATACTTACATGGTAGGCAATGCAAACTGAGGTTGAAATAATGAACAGTAAATACTGTGAATGGATTGGCTACCATACTGAATTTTCCACTTCTATCGAAAGACCAGAGACTGCAAAACTGTGTCTTACAGACTCCCGTGACGACACATGAAAAATAAGTGATGGGTCCACAACATAGACAACATAGATGAGGAACGCTAAGTGATTCTTTTCAAAACACGGGAAGAAATAGAAATCTGCCAGGAGAGGGTATCAATGAATTAATGGAACAACATTTTAATAAAAACTATTGTGCCATTTAAGGTGACAAAGCTTTCCTGTGTCCTTAATCCCCTTGTGCTCACACTATTGCTTTTACAATTTGATCCAGTATTAAAAAAGAAGCAATAACAAGAATGCATGCACCTATCAATGAGCAAGTGCTACTTTGTGAATTTCTTGCACATCCTCGAGATAAGAGCAGCAGAGCTTTGCAGTATTCAATCAGAAGTGACTCGTTGGTGTGTTTTCTTGTTCTGCTCCTTGCTGGGGTCAGTAGGTGCTCTATGGAGCTCAGGTTCTGTATATTACCAGTGTAATGGTAAACATAAGAATTCTTCATTTCTTCAGCCAGATCCCTTTCATCTACTTTGGACAGAGATTCCTGGTGTATTTAGCAAGAAAGGCGCTTTTTGTATATCCCTGGAGAAAACATACTGAATAGTAAGAATATTAATGATAAAAACAACTGATATTTGTCCCCTGCGTCTGATTTTTAGGGCATCAAGAGATGCATATCTTTTGAACTGCACAGCGGTCCCTTGGGAAGCACAAGGCATTCATTTTTAATGAAGGAGCCTGCAGTTCCTCTGGTTGTAGGAATGAGCAGTGATCTTGCAGCCAAAATGGTGGTGGAGAGGGAGAAATGATCTGCAAGATTCGATTTACTCTAGTTACCAGGGACAGGAATTTCAATTCAGTCGTTGTGCACATCCGTGGACAAAGGATTTGCATGTGTTGAACATGTGTTTCTCAGATGTGCACTACTTTTCAAATTTCCTAATAAAACCTTCTAAATAAAATTCTTAAACACAAACATAATTTGTTTAATATACGTCAGTTAAGAGTAGACAATAGTAAACCCATACATGAGCAAAATACATACAGCAGAGAGGTACCAGATTGGTTGAAGGTGTTTTCTGACCAGTGATGCATCTCTCCAGTCCCCAGAGGTCCTGCATGTCTTACAGAGCACATTTCAATTTAGCAGAGGTCTTGCCAAAATAACTTGTTTGATGAATTAAGAGAATTAAGATCAGAGGTAAAACGGGCGGCCAGAGTTTCTGGTTGATGTGTTCTTCTTTTCACTCCAAACCTCTGCAGTCATCACTCTAACAGAGACGTGGTGTGCATTACAGTGGGGAGCAGACTACGTGTTGCACATACTGTACTATAGGTCCTTAGAAATATCCACACCTCAGAATGCAAAGGTTGCAACATACATTTGTGTGTGTTCTACCAGCACAAGTAGGCAGAGCATGGATGATGTTACCCAGTTAGACGTAAAAGGGTTTGTTTTTTTTCTGAAATTATTTTTGTCACTGTTCACTAATGCAACTTGGGCATACTGTATAGACTGCAGGGTTTATGCAGAATTGGATATGTATTTAAAAATGTTCAGACTGGTTTTTAAATGTGACAGTCTATTGATTAAATAATTTCAGACCAAGGAATCATTATGCAAAGTGTGACAAGCAGTAACTGTCCTTGATTACCTAAACTAGAACTATGCACTCCCAATTAGTGATAAATGGAGCCTCCAAAAACACTGGTAACTGAAGCAAAGGTCGGCTAGTGCTTAGCTGGGATGTAACTTTGGATCACAATAAATCAGAAGAAGCAAACTGCCCACCAAGGGCAAATTGCAAACCCAAGAGGTGATTGTGGCTGGCACATGCCAAAATCAACTGGAATGTGAAAGTAACCTGAGAAGAGGTAATTAAAGTAACAAAGGTGGATCTAGTTAAAAGGTAGTAAGACACTTTCGGCATTTGTCTGAGTCTGAGGTCTGAGGTACAGGCACTAAACCAACAACGGGAAATGTAAGAACAAAAAAGTAGCATGTTATAATGGTGACATGCAAAATTCAAAACAGCTGGAAAAATGTTATATACTACAGAACTTAAGATGCAGTATATAAAACATTACTTATCTGTGTGTATTTACTCTATGTTTGTCTTTTCTGACTTACTGTATAGTTGGAAAGAAAAAGCAGAAAAACTGTAGGACTGGAGCGTGTTGGCTGAAAGCTGCTTTTTACTGTTCTCAGCCCCACTGACAGAGGGGAATGTCTGGATCATTGATTTCTGTTCCTCCAGTCAGATGAGCTCAATGATCACCCGGGCTAACAATTGTTATCAATGAAGTCATACCTCCCTCGCTGGCACTCAAAGAGCAGTGCAAATGAGATACACTGAGCTTAATATCACAAGCAAATTGGTTTTAGATCCCTGCTAGAACATATCTTCTGCGTCCTGAATCTAAACTCAAAACGCACTGCTTAAATCGCTGACATACCCTTTATTGGTTCTTTCATCTTTTCCTCCTGGTTCTGGGGTTCATTTGAAAAGGTGATGGATTGCTACAAAAAGAATAAAAAGGTCTTTGAGAGCGATTAGCTTGCTAAGACATCTAAACTCTGCTTTTACTATTGGACTGTAGGGCAATTCCAGTTCAGTACAGAGTCTTTAATTGTATTGTGAGGATGCTTATAAAAAGTCCCTGCTGCCAGTTCCAGTGAGTTACACATTTTCAAGGAACCACTTTGAATTCAAAATATTTTAAGATGCATATTT